AATGTCAACCTGATGCAAAGACAATATAAAAATGTCAAGACAATGTTAACCTGATGCAAAGACAATATAAAAATGTCAAGACAAGGGCAACCTGATACAAAGACAATATAAAATGTCAAGACAATGCCAACCTGAAACAAGGACAATATACAAATGTCAAGACAATGTCAACCTGATGCAAAGACAATATAGAAATGTCAAGACATTGCCAACCTAATGCAAAGACAATATAAAAATGTCAAGACAATGCCAACCTAATACAATGACATTATAAAAATGTCAAGACAATGCCAACCTAATACAAAGACAATATAAAAATGTCAAGACAATGCCAACCTGATGCAAAGACAATATAGAAATGTCAAGACATTGCCAACCTAATGCAAAGACAATATAAAAATGTCAAGACAATGCCAACCTAATACAATGACAATATAAAAATGTCAAGACAATGCCAACCTAATACAACGACAATATACAAATGTCAAGACAATGTCAACCCAATACAAAGACAATATAGAAATGTCAAGACAATGCCAACCTAATTCAAAGGCAATATAGAAATGTCAAGACAATGCCAACCTAAAACAAAGGCAATATAGAAATGTCAAGACAATGCCAACCCAGTGCAAAGACAATATAAAAATGTCAACATAATGATAATATACAGAAAAAAAAACACTCAAATAAAGCAAATAAAAATAATGAATGTTGGCACTGATCTCATGCCATATGAAAACAATAATTATACTTTTTTTTAAAATTAGATTTATTATAAAAGCACATACATATAAATATAAAATTTGAGAAATGATCGGTAAGTACAGAAGCGATAAAGTGTTAAATTAAAAGAAGTTTGTTATTTAAAAAAGACGATTGCATTATTCAGACCAACAATAATTGAAAATTCCCCAGAAAGACGATGAACTTTGCTACTACCAGAATTATAAAAATAGAGTAATGTTTACAGTTGGAAATTCTACTATGCCACTCAAATAAAAATAATGAATGTTGGCACTGATCTCATGCCATATGAAAACAATAATTATACTTTTTTTTTAAATTAGATTTATTATAAAAGCACATACATATAAATATAAAATTTGAGAAATTATCGGTAAGTACAGCAGCGATAAAGTGTTAAATTAAAAGAAGTTTGTTATTTAAAAAAGACGATTGCATTATTCAGACCAACAATAATTGAAAATTTCCCAGAAAGACGATGAACTTTGCTACTACTAGAATTATAACAAGCAGCCTATCGGCTGAGATAGCTCCGCTGTTAGAAATGCACATTTCAATTAAAGAACTGAAGACATCATCAGAAAATGAACAATATGTATAGTATCAAAGCAATCGGACTTACAGTTTTTAACAAGAAGTCGAAAATATCACTTTCTACCAAATATGACAAAAATATTCACCAAAATTATAGAATCCAAGATATCATCACGAAATGAACAAATCTGAGAAAGGTCTACATGTAGTATCTAAATATGTAATATCAAAGCAATTGAACTATTGGTTTTTAACAAGAAGTCAAAAATATCACTTTTTACCAAAAATTACAAAAATATTCACGAAAATTTGAGAATTGAAGACATCATCACAAAATGAACAAATCTGAAAGAGGTCCACATGTAGTACCTATATATGTAATATCAAAGCAATCAGACTTGTGGTTTTTAACAAAAAGTCGAAAATATCACTTTTTACCAAAAATTACAAAAATATTCACGAAAATTAGAGAATTGAAGACATCATCACAAAATGAACAAATCTGAAAGAGGTCCACATGTAGTACCTATATATGTAATATCAAAGCAATCAGACTTGTGGTTTTTAACAAAAAGTCGAAAATATCACTTTTTACCAAAAATTACAAAAATATTCACCAAAATTAGAGAATTGAAGATATCATCACAAAATGAACAAATCTGAGAGAGGTCCACATGTAGTACCTATATATGTAGTATCAAAGCAATTGGACTTGCAGTTTTTAACAAGAAGTCGAAAATATCACTTTTTACCAAAAATGATAAAAATATTCACCAAAATTAGAGAATTAAAGATATCATTACAAAATGAACAATTCTGAGAGAGGTCCACATGTAGTACCTATATATGTAATATCAAAGCAATTGCACTTGCGGTTTTTAACAAGAAGTCGAAAATATCACTTTTTACCAAAAATGACAAAAATATTCACCAAAATTAGAGAATTAAAGATATCATTACAAAATGAACAAATCTGAGAGAGGTCCACATGTAGTACCTATATATGTAAATATCAAAGCAATTGGACTTGCGGTTTTCAACAAGAAGTCGAAAATATCACTTTTTACTAAAAATGACAAAAATATTCACCAAAATTAAAGAATTGAAGATATCATCATGAAATGAACAAATCTGAGAGAGGTCTACCCAAGGTACATATACACCAAGTATCAAAGCATTCAGGCTTGTAGTTTTCAAGAAGAAGTCGAAAAAGTAAAACATTGACACGGACGACGACGGACGACGACGACGACGGACAATCACTCATATGATAAGCTCCGCTCGACAAAGTCGACAGCGGAGCTAAAAAGTATATTTATAGCTGTAGAAGAAATCCTACAATCCCTTCTGCAATTGCGTTTAAATCACTCGTCCGTGAAAATAGAAAAATAGAGTTGGAAATAGCCCTATATAAAGGAAAGGAACAATATCACTATCATAAATGGGAGCTCTTGAATAATTGGTTGGATTAAAAACAAGTAAATTATTCTTGTTTGTCATGTACATTTTTTTTTAGGGGGGATTTTGTTTATTGGGAAATAAAAAAAATGTTATTAACACAAAAAAAAATAAAGACACAACTATACCTGGAACCTTGTAAGGAATTCCTGCTGCCGAGTGATGTCTGTTGCAAGTATCAGAGATTTAATATGCCATTCAAGTTCAGCTCTTTGTCGTGGTGTGAAGTGATCGAATACCCCCGTTTCATGTAATACAGCTACACAGGAACGCCAGTGATGGTTCTCAAGCACAGAAGAATTCTAGAGGAAAAAAATAGTTTCTCAGTGGGAATACAATATTGTATGTAAGGACTAATTATTTGCTAGGTTTTATTTTGCCTTATTTTACTGATAGCTAAATGCAGCAAATTAAAACCAAGTTAATACTGAAAGATACTTTATTATAGCTGGAATTAATTTTTGCTGAAAATTCTTTTTGGGCGTTTTGTATGGGATTTATTTTCATGAGTTGTTGATAAGTGGAATGTAAAATATATGAAAAAGGGTGTATTTGCTGGATATTATTTTCACTGAATAATTTTTTAGCAAAAATAGCAAAAGTAAAATTCAAGTAAAAATAAAGTATTTCACAGTATGCCATTTCACTAAATCAGTGAATTTAAAATCTGGTAAATATCTATAGGCAACTTATATGCTAAATTTAAACACAGTAAATATTGCTCCTTTAGAGTCTAAAAATAGATAAACAAGTAGCATATGGGTAATAATTTAATTTTACTTTCAATTTGCTATGGAATGAAAAACATATTCTTAGGCAATAGTTAGAATGGATAGGGAGGAAATTAAAAAGTCACATTGATGGTGTGAGATAATAATAACTGGTGAAGAGCCCACACATCGCAATGCCATTTTTTTTTTAGACAAAACAATTTTTTAGGAATGATGTACTGTACCGTATATGCCTTTAATTGACACGAATTGCATCAGAAAAAATTCAAAATAGTACAGCAGTGAAGATTTTGGTGGGGTACTTAATTAAGACAGAGAAGTATGGAGAGGCTTTCATAAACTGTTTTCCTGAAATTATATATCCATTAACGAAAAGGTACAATAATTAGGTAAAAAGAAAAACTTAGATTATTGATTTTCTCAACACAGAGAGAAATGTTTTTCTGTTTTGCCCTGGTAAAATGCAAAAGGCAAGGTCAGGGGTCAGGGGGTCAGGTCACCTTACCTTGTACATAGATGCAAGATGGCTGGAAGTTGCTATGAGAAATGCTTGATTAACACCAGGGTGGTCAAGATCATGAGTTATGGCTGCTAATAATGTTGCCATAGTTTCCAGTGGATTAATCATACCTGCTATCTGTGAAATGGGAATAAATATAATGTAATAGATGTAAATGATTTATATTCCTACCTTAATGAGATGTGATTTCTACATGAAACAGATATGCAGAGAAAACTAGCATATCAAAGATTTAAGTTATATAAATACTCCCCTCTATAGTTGAACAATTTTATAACAACAGGAATGAAACAAATGTATGAATACCGGTAGTCTGGATTAATTGTTTTCAATCACAAAATCTTGTTGCAGTAAGCATATGAACATATCACTGGGGTTGTTGACCCTTTTAACACCACTGTTTTAATCTTAAAAGTAAAACCTGCCACATGACATTTATAATGCAGTATGGGATAATTTCTTAGGTAATTTAGGAACAAATTAACATACAGTAAAAAACATGTATTTTTAACCAGCATGTTAATTTAAAACAAACTATTTTCTTATAATGAGATTATCAGCAATTTAGCTAAATAGTCAATTTATCAATCATGTCAAATTTGCAGTAAACTGTAACAACCATTATTCAGCCTGAGCTTGATCAAAAAACTAATGGAAAATTAGGTTTAATATTTTGAGAAAGTGACTCACTATACTGCAATGTTGATTAACAAAACGGCACAAAGTATACATCTGTCATAAGCGTAAAAAACCCTTTTTGCCACACGCTTGTCACCATGACAACACTTACCGTCTGTTCCCTAAGATAACAATGCATTGCTTGTGTCACATCAGCAGCATGGATGGAATTATGATAAGGATTCTTACAATGGTACCCTTCCTCAATAAGTGCTGCAGAGAGAAAAAAAATGTCATCTGGTAATGATTTACTACTCTCTAAACTTAATTTGAAAAATGGTCCTACAACATGTCTCTTGACGGCCGGCCGTCATTAACCCCTATTATAATGTGTAATTTGACGGCAGCCATAGATAGATAGATAGTCTTCCAAAGTTACATATTTTTTAGCAGCCATCTTGAATTGGAAGATACTGTAAAACATGTCTTTTTCGCGAGCATTTCGTTTTAGCGAATTTAGCAAGAGAACTGATTCGCTAATTCAAGATGTCGCTAATGATTTTATTATAAATTCAAAATGGCCAAGGCTTGGGATTTGTATACAGTGATCTGGAATATAAAAATCTGGGGCGCTTCCTAATTACACTTGACAGTTTTTCTTTGTTTTATGGAGGTGACAACTGCGCATTTGTTTTGGCACGCAACAGAAAGTATTGTGAAAATAGGAAATCAAAAATGACAACAGAGATTCGCTAAATCAACATTTCGTTATTACGTCATTTTACCACAATTCGCTAAAATTACATGTCGCTTTTTCAACATGTTTTACAGTAGTTCCCTCAAGGCTACCAGACATGAGACATTTTCACCATGGTTTAATTTTTTGTACCAGGATTTTTATTCTAATGAGACAAATTGTGTTATAAAAATACAAGAAAACACAAGTGACAATTCATAAGCGTACAATAAACATTTGAGTACACTATAACGGGAAAAACACTTCATTCTGTCTCTAGTTACACATGAATGTGTAATTGTCTCATACTTTCCAAACTAATGTAACAATTCCACCCAACATATTTAATTCCTGGTGAGAATGGCAGTTACATATTTTATGGAATCTTGAATTGAAATACAGTCCCCCCAAAGATTACATATTTTATGACAGCCATCTTGAATTTAAAGATAATCCTATGGGACTAGAATGTATCAATTTTTACTGCAGCCACCTTAAATAGATGATTTCCTGTGGAGCGAGTTTAAAACATTCTGAATTAGAGATTAAAGGCACTTTCCAAACATTTCTTGGTAGTAATGTCATAGAGAAGGAGGCTATTTACCATCATTTTTCTGTGTATTTCTGACTTCTTTTCTAAGTTTCTTAGCTGAGAAACACTTTTAATATACTCATAGTTGAGAGACATTCATGAGTATATTGCTCACTCTGCAATACCTGTACCGAATTTAGAATGACTTGTGACGTGATCATTTGCTGAATCACACTGGAAATGGTCTATGTGAAGATACTCCCCTTATGATTACACATCTCTGTGGCAACCATCCTGAATTAGAAGACTGTCTCCATGGAAACCACATGCATGTCTCTACAATACTCACCAAAGCATTTGAGGACTTTCATTATATCCAGGTGGAAATATTCAACCAACTTGTACTCATGGAATAGGTATAGTGATACGTAAAACAAAGAACGTCCTAAAATTGGAAAAAAATAGAGCTTAAATAAAAAATTACTCAAAACAGAAACATGCCTACATGAAAATCATGTCAGACTTAAAGTAAATCTACATTGAAGAGTAGACCATTAATTTTGTTGGGGGTGGGCTAGTTTGGAAATATGAATTAAAATAATAGTGTACGTCGTTAGTAAACATTGCATAATTTGATTAATTATTCATGAAATCATTCAATTTGGGCAAACAAAACGGAAATCACAAACTAAGCATCTGTCAATAAACTTTGAATGCAATGAACATTATGACATTGTATTGTAGAAAAGTCTAACATCATGTGCCTGAGACCTCCGTAGGCGAGTGGCAAAAAACCAAGGGTGACAGAAAAAAAGTGACATAGCCTTGTACAAAACCAAGAGGTTCCCCCAATACTGTTGTGATGTTAAAATAAAATTTCTAAGAGCTTTGTTCAGGTAGCAAAGTCTTCCTTAGGCTTCATTGAAAAGCCATATCGAAGTAGCAGAGAGATTTCAAATGTCTTAATTCTCTATGCACACTGTCTGCATTGAATCTGTTTCATATACAGAACACCATTCTATGACCATGTCGGTTCTATTTTTAGTTCTGCATGTCACATTATGAATCTCCACCCATAATAAGGTGTCATAAATGTACACAGATGTGCCTGTTCATTTTTTGTCCATCAAATTTTTTTTTTCATTTGGTTAGAACATGTTTGTGTTTCTTGCAGAAACTATTTTGTCTCAACCCCCTTCCCCTTGCCCCCATAGCATAAATATTGATACATCCCTAAACATTATGATGCAATCAAAGTGAGAATACATGATTACCATTTGTCAGCCTGTCAAGATGGAACACATCAAAATCCCAATGGTTGATACGTGACAGCACATGCTGAAAACAAACCAAAAAAAACATTATGCATGCAACCAAATTTTCTACAAATGAAAATCAAGAAAAATTTATTGATTTCCAAACTAAATTATGCCTTAATACTAAGTGTTGATATTAATAATTGTTATTACAAAATGGACGCTGGATTGACAAAATCACTGTAACCATAGAAACAAGCTTAGATACACCACCAATGTATTTGCTTTTTGATATGTGGTTGAACTAAAAGTTCAGTATGGTGTTACCCATTTCCAATTAAAGGAAATGGGAATTGTTGTTCATTTTGCAAACATTTTATTGACATTTTGTAAATTTTAATATAATTTTCTACTATTCCTCTGTTAGGCAAGACATCCTTATGATCCCCTCAACTAAAACTCTAATGCTAACCCTGTGCCTCCCCCATTTCAATTGTACATGCCTCTTTTATTTTAAATAGGTCATAATGAATTACATTAGGGGGGTGGAGTGTTAGAGTCCAGGTTGGGGGTGGGAACTCTTATTTTGGTCAGTTTTGACCAAATGAGCATAATTTTTCATTTGCTACAGGTTTGAAAACAATTTGGGAAAAAAAATATGTGAAAAGTTATAAAAGCCAACTTTAGCATTGAAAAGATTTAAATGAACTATATTTATTTGGACTCTCTGAATGAAGTTACTGGCAATATTTTAAAACTGTTCATGAAAATGCTGTTGTCACATGCTTATGTCAAAGGTTACTAAAACCCCAGGTAACGATTTCATGCCTCATTGAGAAGCTGTTTCAAGGCACATTGAGTGGTTACTGGGTCAAAAAGTCCTTTCACCTGTGATTAGAGGCACTGTCATTTCAAACAGACATCAGAATTTTGCGATAGTGACACACATTGCTTACATGCATGCTTTGTGCTTGCCAAAAATTGTAGCAATCAAGTTTTGTCATCAAATGGTCAGTAAAAGTCTGTGTTTGTGCAAATATAAACACACAACAATCACTGATAATTCTGGTTATACAAAGAAAACAGTCATTTTGTTATGTGGATTGTAAAACAAGCAGCCTCTTGGCTGAGATAGCTCCGCTTTTAGCAATGCACATTTCAATTAAAAAACTGAAGATATCATTAGAAAATGAACAAATCTGAAAGAGGTCTATCTGAGGTACCTATATGAATAATATCAAAGCAATCGGACTTGCAGTTTCCAACAAGAAGTCGAAAATAACATTTTTTACCAAAAATATTCAAAAAATTAGAGAATTGAAGATATCATCACGAAATGAACAAATTTGAAAGAGGTCTATCTGAGGTACCTATATGTATAATAGCAAAGTAATTGGACTTGTGATTTTTAACAAGAAGTCGAAAATACCACTTTTTACCAAAAATGGCAAAAATATCCATCAAAATTAGAAAATTTAAAATATCATCATGAAATGAACAAATCTGATAGAGGTCTACCTGTGGTACGGATATGTATAATATCAAGGATATCGGACTTGCAGTTTTCAACAAAAAGTCGAAAATATCACTTTTCACCAAAAATATCCATAAAAATTAGAGAATTGAAGATATCATAATGAAATAAACAAATCTGAGAGAAGTCTGCCAAAGGTACACAACACACCAAGTATCAAAACAATAATAAAATAAAAAGTTGACACAGACGACGACGGACAATCACTCATTTGATAAGCTCCGCTTGACAAAGTCGACAGCGGAGCTAATAACTACACATTGAAGTTGCAAGAATTGGAAAAAAGTGAGAGTACATGTACCTCCTTAACAATTGAAAAGGAAAAACTCACACTTGTGTCTTCAGACAGAACCATTAACATCTGTGTTATAAGAACAGGTTGTTTAAAAATTAAGTTAGGACATTTCGTCCAAAATTTTGTTAATTTTTTTGGGGTATAAAACAGATTTAACAGAAACCACCCTGCCTTTGTCTGAAATGAAAAAAATACGAGCAAATTGGCGATGTCCGGAAAGCATCTGAATCACAATGAGGATTCAGTTGAAAGGCATAGCGCAAATAAACTTATATTGAAATGCTGCTTTTTATGTTAGATGATAGTACCCATATACAATACATAAACCTCTTTGTAAATTAGCTGTACACTAACACAATAAGGCATGCTGTACATGTATAACCAATTTGACAATATGAAAACAAGTGTGTCAATTTACATCTCTGCATTAAAACAAGTGTGGCAGTTTACATCTCTGCAAGTGTGGGAACTAAATTTCAATAAGAATGTTTTCAAGCGAAATGACATAGAAAACACTAGTTCTGCAGAAAAATCAAGGACAGACACGCAGATGCAAACACTGCCTTCTACAGGCAAAGTTTATGTATGTTTATATATTGAAAATGGGTCTCTTGCCTTACATTTTTTTTTGATAATTCTGTAACTAGAAATCTTAATTTGCTTGAGTTCTCTGGGAAATTGATCCATAAATATGTATATTACGTTAGTATATGTAGATAGATGTAGATGAGAGAAGCCTTTCACAGTATATACATACATGATTATATGTAGGGGGTTAGCAATGGCGCTTACTGAATCAATTAGTAAACAAGATCTCACACTGTCATACAAGTATTCCTACACCATGACCCAGATTACTAAGAGGAAGAGAAGAAACCCAGGCAGGAAAGGTAGGTTTAGCGTAGAAACCCTCTGTATCATATTTCGTAAGAATCTGGTTATTCAATACATCTTTTGTATTGATTCGACCAGAGTTGGCATTATCTTGTTTACGCTTTTAAGAAAATGTTTGCCAATATCGAGTATGACATGAAATGTCAATTGCTGAACTATTTTTACATTTCGGAAAGGAAAAAATATCATATTTGAACAACTTTGTTTGTCAGATGAATCAATACTTCCAGGGTGTCTCAGTACAGCCTGTTTTGTTTGCAAATATAACTAAGGGAACTGATCATTACCACCAAGCCGGTTTCCTGTGAGTCTCCTGCGGCATGCGTTTCTTTACCGTACCGGCCGTTGCTTTACCGTACCGGCCGTTGCTTTACCGTACCGGCCGCTGCTTTACCGTACCGGCCGCTGCTTTACCGTACCCGAAGGTCATTAGCCGTACCGGCAAGGCCGTTACCGTACTGGCAGGAGGCAATTCACACTTCTGACAAGTTAATTTATGCATTGATTTTCCGGTTTACCGGTAAAATGCCGACCTGTTTAAATTTCAGTTTTATGCACAGGATCGCCTGAGAAAGCAAAACTGTAGAATTAATTTGAGTAGAATTTGTTTAGTTTGTAGTTATAGTCTGTTTATAAATCATTTTGTTCATGTTTGCTATGCAGTAGCTTTCGAGGTCAAAT